CCATTAAACTCATTTCGAACGCTCCCTACATGGTTGTTTCAAATTCTTTGCATAAACTTTGACTAGTTGATCCGAAAATAATATCATCAACATACACCCGAACCAACAATGTATGATTCTTTACAGTTTTAATGAACAAGTTTTATCCACTAAGCCTCTGTGGAAACCATCTTGAATTAAAATTTACTTAATTTATCATACCAGGGTCTGGGAGCTTGTTTTAATCCATACAAGGCTTTATTTAGCTTATATACATGGTCTGAGAATTTATGATTTTCAAAACCAGGTGGCTGAGCTACGTATACTTCTTCTTTTAAATCTAAATTTAAAAATGCACTTTTAACATTCATTGATATAATTTAAAACCCTTAGAAGCATCAAAAGCACATAGGAGTCAAATTGCTTATAGTCTTGCTACAAGAGCAAATGATTCATCAAAGTCTATGCCTTCTTATTGATCATACCCTTGTGCCACTAATCTAGATTTGTTTCTAGTAATATCGCATATGTCATTTGTTTTATTTCTGTAAACCCATTTTGTTCCTATAATAATTTTATCCTCGGGTTTAGGTACTAGTTCCCACACATTTAATCTTTCAAAATATCCTAACTCGTCCTGCATTGAAGCAGTCCAAAACTCATCATCTAATGCCTCTTGAATGTTTTTAGGTTCAAGCAATGAAACAAAGGCAGTATATATTGCTGGTAACTTAGATCGAGTAATCATATCTTGGTTTATATCTCCAATTATTTTAGATGATGGATGTCTCTTTTGTATGTATGGATGTGCCTGCACAGGCTAATCCGCTCTCTTTTCTTCTTCTTCTTCACTTCGAGCATATTTTGTTTGAAGAACTTTATCCTTTAGCGTCTGTTTCTTTTCGAGACTAAGTTGTGAACTTCCAAGTCCGAGATCATATCTTCTTCAATTAATTATGCACACTTACTCGAGGATTCATCAAATACCATATTTATGGACTCCTCTACCTTGTGGGTCCTTTTGTTATATATTCTATACACCCTGCTATTTTGAGAATAACACACGAATATAGATTCATTTGACCTCGAATTTCTCTAGATTGTATTTGGTGTTTAGCACAAAACATATACAGCCAAATGGGTGGAAATATCTCAGATTTGGTTTTCTTCCTTTCCATAATTCATACAGCGTTTTGTTTAGTTTAGATTTGATCAAGGCACGATTTATGGTGTAGCAAGATGTATTTACAACTTTTGCCCAGAAGTGTTTGGGAAGACCGTAGTCATTTAGTATTGTTCTGACAATTCCTATTAGTGTCCTATTCTTACGTTCTACTACACCATTCTGTTGAGGTGTTCTATGAGCAGAAAAATTGTGTGAAATTCCATACTTTTCACAAAACTGTTCAAACTTTTCTGATATAAATTCTCCACCATGATCGCTCCTAATACTTATAACCTTAGTTTCTTTTTCATTTTGAAGTCGCCTGATCAGATTTTTAAAGTTCTTATAAGCTTCACTTTTATTTGCCAAAAATGACACCCATATAAATCTGGAAAAATCATCTGCTATTACAAATGCATATGATTTGCCTCCTAAGCTCATGACATTGCTTGGTCCAAACAAATCTAAGTGTAGCAGTTCTGAAGGTTTTGAGGTTGAAATAACTTGTTTACTTTTAAATGAAAACCTGACTTGTTTTCCTCTCGTGCAAGCTTCACAGAAAAACTCTTTCTTGCAATTAACCTTAGGAATTCCAGTTACTAGGCCCAAATACTAGTTTTGATAAAGAGCCTACACTGACATGTCCTAATATCATTTGCCACTCTAATTGGTCATTTTTATCGACAGAAACTAAGCAAATTTCATTGAACAAATTTTTATCACTAAAGTTTATACAAAACAGTTTTCCCTTTCTCTTTCCAGAGAATAAGATTGACCTACTTTCAATATTTTCAACATAGCATCCATTTGGTTCAAAAACTACTATGTTTTGTTTCTCCACACATTTGGCTTATTGAAAACAAATTATGTTTTAACCCATTGACTAGCATTACATTTTAATTTTTGGTGCAATTCGTACTTCCCCTTTACCCAGAATATCCGTACTATAATTATCACCAAAATAAACTTTACGTTTCTTTCCTTTAACCAATTTTGTGAAGAGTTTTTCATTACCGATCATATGATGTGAGCATCCACTATCCAGAATCCACTCGCTGTCTTCCATGCTCACTTGGAAGCAGACCTAATTACAAAACAACGCTTATTTTCCCTTTGGTAACCATACCAATCTAGAAATTTTAACCTTTTAATTTAGATCTGTACACCCATAACTCATATGTCTGATTATATTACATGTAAAGCATACTGAAGATCTCATTTTATCTTCTTTAGCTATCCCTTTCTTACAATTTCCAATATAATGTCCTTTCCGATGGCAATAAAAACACGATATATTCTTTATTTTATAATTTTGATTCTTGTAGCTTGTTCTTCTGTTTTTAGCATCTGCTCTCCTGTTTACTGTTTCACTTCTTTTCACATATTCAGCTAACTTGCCCTCTAGCTATCATTTATTTTTAAGACTTATTCATATGTATCTCTACACTTAGTTTTTCCTCCTTTAGTTTGTTGTACTGTTCAGTTAACTTTTTAAATTCTGACTTGAGTTTTGAATGCTTAACTTGTACATTTTTTATTCAATCTGAATATCTCTGATAGTTCCACTTATTTGATCATTTTCAATTTCAGAATCAGAGTAGTAGTTTAGTGATCTTACCTGAGACGAGTGACATTCATCGTCACTTTCTCCAATTGCCATGAATGCTTCTTGTATTCTCCCACCATCTCCTTCATCGTCATCATCCTCACTGCAGCTCCAGGTAGCAGCATAGGCCTTTTCTCATCTCATTTGTGGACACTCAGCTTTTATATGTTCACTTCTTCCACACTTGAAGCACCCTTCTTGAGAAGCACTCTTCTCATTTCCATTTGTCTCCTTTCTGAATCTTGAACTCTGTCGAGATTGTCTGAATAGATATTTATCTGACTAAGCTTTCTTTGAGCGATTGATAAAACTACCTCTTCTTTTTTCTTTTCGAAACCTTAGCAATTTAGCCACATGTTTACTTAACATGGCTAATTCATCATCCTTCATATGTTCCAGACTACCCAATTCATCTTCTTGTTCAAAGACTTTGAACGCTACTCCCCTTTTCTTTTCTTTTCTTGGTTCCTCACTTTCTTCTCATCTCAACTTATCCTCATGAGTAACTAGAGATCCCATCATCAGTTTGTCCAGACTTAACCTGGTCAAATCCTTAGATTCTTCGATTGCAGTTACTTTGGGTGTCCACGTCTTAGGGAGGGCCCAAAGTACATTTCTGACCAGATCGACACTTGTATATTCCACTTCCAGATTCCTCAAACTACTTACTATGGATGTGAGCCTATCATGCATCTCCTTGATAGATTCATCTGGCTTCATTAAAAAATCTTCGAAATCTTGCTTGAGGTTGTTTATTCTAAAATTTTTGACATGAGATGTACCTTCGTGAGCCATTTGTAACTTGTCCCAAATTTATTTTGTTGCCTTGCATCCAGAGACATCATGATATTATTCTGGCCCCAACGCACAATACATCAGATTGGTTGCCTTTGAATTCAATTGAAAGTTCTTCTTATCCTCATCGGTCCATTTTCCTAGAGCTTCCTTCACTTCCAACGACCCATCCAGTACAATGTTCCAAAGATCAGGACCAGTTGATCCGATGAATAGCTCCATGCAATTTCTTCAGTATCCATAATGCACTCCTTCAAATCTTGGTGGTCGTGTCTGAGAAAATTCGTCCGCCATGAAGATTCCTCCTGCGTTTGCGCCCGAACCCATGTTCTCCGGTGGTGGTTAGACCTTCTTCCTCAGAGTCGGGCTCTAATACAACGTGTTGGTGGAGTCGAGCACGAGACTTTCTACCTCCTTTTTCAGAGAAGTCGAAGAACCCTAATTTGAATGAAGATTTTAGACATCAATTTTGTAAGTTAGATTGACAAAATAACTATTGAAGCTGAAGACTTTTTGTTTCATAAATTTTAAATAAAAACCAAATAAGACTAAATCGATATTGGGCTTCAAGCCCAAGGTTCTCGTATTAAGTTTAACGGGCTCCAAAAGATTCTTTCTCTTAAGCAACCTGAGTTGATTTATTTGAGCAAGTTCTTATCCCTCCCCTGCTTCGATTAACCTGCAAAAACAGAGACTCCAACCAGAAACAGAGACTAACTAAGTCTTGATTAGATAAACTAGAAAGTAAATTGACACAGAGAATTTTTACGTGGTTTTCGGTACTGTTGAATCGATATCGACTAGTCCACGGCCAAAGGAGTTCTGCTTGAACCCTTTGGCGTTTCATTATGATGATTTGTATCCGATTTACATAATACAACGGATGATCTCTAGGTGACTTCCTGTCATTGATAAGAATCCGCTTCAAAGCTCTACTCCCTGCACTCTGACCTGATGTCACAACCTCTAACTCTCGAGCTATCTCCCTGACAACTCTCTCTTTTTCTTTTTAATTACAAGGTTATGAATATGTAACCTAATTGAAATTTTCCTAAAAAACATGTGTTTCTATTCTACCCATGACCTCATCTTTTATAATCTACTCTTGCTGACCGTTTGCTCACTGATTTGAGAAATCAATTTGGTTTCTTGATTGCGGTAATTGATCACCATTTCATGACTTTCCTTTTTGGTTCTTTAAGATACTGCGGTTTGTCTTTATTTCCATAATTTCTCGGTGTCATTGACTAAGCTTCACCCAACAAGAACAAACTAACTACTAGTTGATTTAAATTGGTTTTAACAAACAAGGCCCTATACTATCCCCTTCACAAAGCCCGCTTCGGCCTTCATCTCTCAAAACCCAGCAAAACGGTCCAACTTAGTGAGACTAAAACTGGCATTTGGGCTTCTTCCTGCGGCCCAATAAGTTATTCGCCTATAATCATGGAAAGGATGAATCCGTCTAATAAAATGTGTGTTCAGCTTTTTGTTACGTCTCCTCTCTCGCTCTTTTCTTCTTCTTTGCCTTAAATTCGCGAGCAAGAGTATCGATCGATCAGGAAGAAGAATTAGAGGCATTGAATCAATCATTCAATCGACGCAACTACTCTCTCCCTCGGCTTCTACTTAATCGCTCAGATCCGGCGAAGAGTGATATCAGAAATGGCGTCAACGTTTAGCGGCGACGAGACTGCTCCTTTCTTCGGCTTCCTCGGAGCCGCATCCGCCCTCGTCTTCTCCTGTAATTTTCAGAACTTTTCGATTCCCGATTTCCGATTCAATTACTGTAGATCTAGGAGAATTGATCTTGGATCCGCGGTTGCGCTTGTGTAATTTGATGTCACAGGCATGGGAGCTGCCTATGGGACGGCGAAGAGCGGGGTCGGAGTGGCGTCGATGGGGGTGATGAGGCCCGAGCTGGTGATGAAATCCATTGTTCCGGTGGTTATGGCTGGTGTGTTGGGTATCTACGGTTTGATTATTGCTGTGATAATCAGTACCGGGATTAACCCTAAGGCCAAATCGTACTACTTGTTCGATGGATACGCTCATCTTTCTTCCGGGCTCGCCTGCGGTCTCGCTGGTCTCTCTGCTGGTATGGCTATCGGGATCGTTGGGGATGCTGGTGTTAGGTAATTCCCCCAAATCTCTTATGTGGCCTTTCACTTCCGGCTTCAAGTTGTGATTCTGCAGTCTGCTGTTTGTGGAAATTAAGATTGGGGATAGTGAATGTGAGATTAGAAGAGTGAATGAATGCTGGTAAACATTTGTGATTCACTAAGTATTTGAGGAAAGTTTTAGGGGAGCATCTCGAGATGACACTATAAGTGACGAAGTTCATAGTTCAATTACTAGTCTGCTTCCCTGTAGAACTAGGTTGACATATCAAGGCTTTGCATACTATATGAGGGGTGGGCCCGTGTCTGCTCCTGCAGAACGAAAAGCATTTATGGTTTTGCACTTTTGCTCCCCAAACCAAATTAAAGCTCTGTAGATTGTTTCATGGCGATACCTCCCAATTAGTGATGGAGATCTCTTTAGGTGCTGCTTTTGTTGTATAGTTCAAAATTATGATTATAGGTTAATGGTGCTCAAGCCTTAGCATATTGTACACTGATTTGGTTCCATATATGGCGTTCTGCTACCCCGGCAACTATAAAGCTCTGTAGATTGACTTGTTGCGTCTCATGGATGTTTGGTTTGCTTCAGTATGATGACTTGTTGCGTCTCACTTTCTTCAATCCCCTACCTTTTCACATTTCATTGAAACCCGATTGGTCGTTGGCAGTCTTCGCATTGATTCATCTTTGTCTGGTAAAGAACCTCCAAAAAGATCATAGAAGAAGCTGTCTGTTCTGGCATTTTGCATTGAATCAATTGCCTGCCATTATGTCCCGGTCATTTTGCAGCTAGTTTTATGCTTTTACATACGTGCGGTGTACTTATTCCGCTATATCAAAATATGTCAGTCCTGTACTGGTATTCATTCCACCGATTTCTCAACACAGAATATTTTATATGCTTTGCAGGGCCAATGCACAGCAGCCAAAGCTTTTCGTGGGGATGATTCTGATTCTCATCTTCGCTGAGGCGCTTGCTCTCTACGGCCTTATTGTTGGTATCATCCTTTCTTCCCGCGCTGGACAGTCCAGAGCCGAGTGAAGAAGAAATGAAAGACGAGGATGTTCCAATTGTCTGGTTGATTGTGTGTTGTCATTTATTGGGGAAAAATCGATTTCGGGTTCTGTTAGACTTCGTTTTGAGGCTCTTTTTTGTTTAGCTCTATGGTTGGGTACTTTGGGGTGTACTACTGCCAGATAGACGAGTATTATTTCTATCACGGGTAAAATTGTACTACTTAGATTACATGTTGCTGCCGCTGCAGCCATAGCAAGTTTATTGTCTTCGTGTTGCTATCTTAAACTGGTTTTTGACCCGCACGATGTGATTATATCTCTTGTTTCTCGGATTCAACATGCTTAGATTTATAAATGTCTGTTGGAGTTGACTAGTGCAACTTCTATGTACGTTTGCTCCAGTTTGAGTGCTTAGTGGAGAAAAGGTTAAGGGAAAGTAGAGAGTTGGATTAAGTTAATTGATTTAAAACGTTCCAAGCCTCATAACCAATCCGGTTTTGTATTCTAAGGGATAGAACCAGCAAGTTGGTCTAAGTCTGGGCCACCCGTTGGCCCATACCACCTTGAACCAAATGTTTGGTTATGATTGGACTTGACAGGTTTGACTCATATTTGAACTTATCATTACAATTCTCTAAGTTAAGAAAGTGTTTGATTTGGTTCCAAAAGAACTTAATGAACAAATGAACGGAATCGATTGAAAACTTATTAGGATTTACGGGGTAGTATGAGATCGAGCAAAGGCGAGAAAATCACTCGTTTGATCGAGGTGTGAACATTTATTTTGTTCACTTAATCTGGAATCTTGTATTATTTAAATTATGATTGGATATCAAACAGAACCGAATCATACTCACCGCCTCTTTTATTTCATTTTATTTAAACCTGGAGAGACTTTTATTAATGAACCAGCACTGTTACATAACATAATCCAGCTTGAGTTGGTCAGTAATAAAATCAGGGGGTCTCTCTATCCAAACAAGTCGCTCATTCCATCTTGTCTCCTCTTGCGCCATTAAGTGCGCCGCCATGTTTGTTGTCCGGGGGCAATGTTTCCAACTCCCATTCCCCATTTCTTTCCGTATTCGACGAATATTACGGCATATAATCCCTACCTCTGTCTGGGTTCCATGTACATCATGTAAAATGCTAACCAGATTCAGACAATTAGTTTCCAGAATCAGGGCCCAACCTGCAATTGGTGTGCGAGTTGGAGACCAAACTCGGCAGCTAAAGCCTCTGCCATCTCAATACTCCAGGATCCTGGGATTCTCTTTGTCGCAGTGAAAAATGCACTTCCCTTCAGCGTCGCGCGCCACAACTCCCAGGCCTGCACCTCCGCTCGTCAATATACTCGCATGATCAGTATTGAGTTTCACTATCCCATAGGCCGACTTCATCCATCTTCCACCTCCCTCGGTCACCAACTCATCACGTTTTTGTTGATGGTGTTGCTTAAAATCCATAAGGAAGCTATGCGCGCGAGGGATTATATCCTTTTCTTCTAGTCTTGACCTGTTGAACATGTGGGTGTTCCTCTCCTTCCACATGAACCATAATAGAGCCGCCCATTCACCCAAGGTTTCATCATCAACCGAGTCCCTTACATTCTTAAACCACGAGTAGCATGAATTCCCATGTTGAGTCATGAAACAATGAGCAAGCGATGAAGGTCTCCACATGTCCATTGGCATTCGTAAAAGAAATGAATTTGGGTTTCCCTACTATGACAGAAAGCACATCGGTCACCTCTCCTTGTGCTCTTAGTGTTAAGATTGGTGGCCTGATGAGTCCACTCTTCCCGCGGCCCAGCCCACTCGAAGATCAGTCCGGGTACCACAGCCCAATCGTCGTTACGTGGGGTAGTTCATCGAGGAGACATGCATAAGAAGCTTGCCGTTGTGATTGTTGGTTGTTTGAATTATTTGTTTGAGTCAGCAACATTTGTTATTTGAAGTCAGCAATGTAGTTAGAGTCTTGTTTGAGTTAGCAGAATAAGTGGAGCTGTAATAGTATCATGGTTAGCTGTTAGGGGTTCCATAGGAATAGGACTTAGTTAATTCCATTTCGAGTCGTTGATGTATTTAAACTAAGAGCTGAGTTGAATAAGAGGGCAAGCAGAATTCTAGTGTCAAAGTTCTGGTTAGCTTCTCGCCAAGAAAAGAGAAAGGTTGGCTCAATCCTGCCAAGAAAAATGATCAATACATTCGTACAATTTCAGTCTGTATCACTTGGTATCAGAGCCCGGAATGGGCACGCACGCCAACCGTTTGGAAGTCCTCGAAGCAACCGCGCAAGAACAACAGGCTACTCTCAAGGCTCTCGTCGATCAGGTGGCGGCCGTACAATTGTCCTTGACGCAGATCGCCCAAGAGCGAACCATCCGGAACGATGATCAGCACTCCGTTGAAGGTGGCAGATCTGTCAATGGCCGCCATCGCCGGACGGTCATCCAAGAGGAAGAGGAACGCGATCCGCAGCCCTTCTTCGGGTCGAAGCTTGCCCGACTGGAATTTCCCACCTTCGCCGGTGGTGACCCCACCGTCTGGTTCTCCCGGGTTGAACATTTCTTTGAATTCCAGGCTATCCCGGAAGAGAAAAGGGTGAATCTAGCCTCGTATCACCTCGAGGGCGACGCCAATCAGTGGTGGCAGTGGCTTCGACGTACCTATCGGACCGAGGGCCTCAGAATCACATGGGAAACCTTCTCCTCCGAGCTGTGGACTCGTTTCGGGGAAACCGCAGGCACTGGCTTCGATGAAGCCCTTTCTCGCATCCGGCAGACGGGGACTCTTACGGAGTACCTCACGGAGTTCGAACGACTGGGGAATAGGGTCCACGGCTGGACTCAACATGCGCTGGTGGGTACGTTCATGGGCTGCCTCAAGCCGGACGTGGCGGATGGGATCCGCATCTTCGGACCCAGAACTCTCAAGGATGCTATCAATCTGGCTCGCGCTCGGGATGACCAACTCTCCCAGTACAGAAGTCCTCCACGACAACCCTTTCGATCAGCAATGGATTACACGACTCCCCCGCGACCGAAGCCGCGACCGACCTTTGAGGCTTTCTTCGCCGCTCGTCCAAGACCAGCCGCCGACCCCCAACCAGGAGGTCGGATCCGTCCTCAATTGCCACCGGGAGCTAAACGAATACCTTACGAGGAGATCAATCGCCGCCGTGATGCTGGTCTGTGCTTCAATTGTGATGAAAAATTCACACCCGCCCATCGCTGCGCTAAACCACGACTGATGATGCTGCTTGATGAAGACGAGGAGGAGTTCGACGTCGAACCGGCTGAGGTATCCGTCAATGCCATTATGGGCCAGACTGGTGGGCGAACCATGCGCGTTTGGGCCTCAGTGGGCCAAACCAAGCTGGTAGCTCTCATTGACAGTGGCTCTACACATAACTTCATAAGTACTAAAATGGCCAACGCCCTCCAGCTCCGTGGCACTCCAATCGCTGCTTTCAACATGAAGGTAGCTAATGGAGCTCCTCTGAAATGTCAAGGCAAACATGATGGGGTGCTCCTCGACATTCAAGGCAATAAGTTTCTTGTGACCCTCTTCGCCATTCCCCTAAGCGGGTTTGACGTTGTTCTCGGCATCCAATGGTTAGCAATTCTCGGCACAATCCAAAGCAATTGGAAGACTTTGGATATGGCTTTGGAATGGGCGGGACGCACCTGCAAATTACGGGGAATCACCGTACCCTAGCACCCACGCCACCAAGGTTGACCCGCGGAAAATCCAAGCCATGATTGACTGGCCAACTCCGACAACCATCATCGAGCTCCGTGGCTTCCTCGGTCTCACTGGATATTATCGAAAATTCGTCCAAGGGTATGGATTGATTGCTCGTCTGCTCACCAATTTACTGAAGAAGGGCCAATTTGAATGGGGCCCGATGGCCTCCGAAGCATTTCAGCTATTGAAGACAACCATGACCTCTACACCGGTTTTGGCGATGCCGGACTTTGAATCCCCGTTCATTATCGAAGCTGACGCATCCGGGTCCGGGATCGGGGCTGTGTTGATGCAGGCCGATCGGCCCATCGCGTACATGAGTCGGGCCTTAGGGAAAGCAAAACCGTCCTTGTCCACCTACGCCAAAGAGATGTTGGCCATCGTCACGGCGGTGCAAACGTGGCGGCCCTATATTCTCGGCCGGAAATTCATCATCAGTACAGATCAACGGAGTTTGAAACACTTCCTCGACCAGCGAATTACCACACCAGAGCAATAAAAGTGGGTTTCCAAGCTCATGGGCTTCGATTATGAGATTGCATACAAGCCCGGCAAGGAAAATCAAGCGGTTGATTCACTTAGTCGTCGCCCAACCGACGCCGCGATCCTCGCTGTCTCTATACCACACACGGAACTTTGGGACTCCATCAAGGCTACGTCTCTCAACAATCCCTATATGAATCTTCTCGCGGGCGGCATCATCCACACCAGGACACTACTCAATCCGTAACGGAATGACACTCTATTGCAATCAGATTGTGGTTCCTCCTCACTCGCCGCACGTCTGCCAGCTGCTGGAAAAGTTCCACAGCACTCCCGTCGGCGGCCATTCTGGTGCAGAACGCACCTACAAGCGGCTCTCCTCACTCTTTTATTGGCCAAGCATGATGGATGACGTGAAGAGCTTCATCCGTTCCTGTGATGTCTGTCAGCGCGCGAAAGCCCAATCCCTCGCACCAGCCGGTCTCCTCCAGCCATTGTCGATTCCAACTCAGGTATGGGAGGACATCTCCCTCGATTTTATTGACGGTTTACCTAGTTCAGGCGGTAAATCGGTGATCTTGGTCGTCATGGATAGGCTGACCAAATATGGCCACTTCATCGCTCTGGCACACCCTTATTCGGCCCGAACCATGACGGACAGTTTCATGGCTCACATTGTCAAGCTCCACGGCCTTCCCCGTTCCATCGTCAGCGATCGTGATCGGGTATTCATGAGTAGTTTTTGGCAGGAGCTGCATCGCCAATCCGGAACGAATCTCAACATGTCCTCTTCTTATCACCCACAAACCGACGAATAAACTAAAGTTGTCAACCGCTGTCTAGAACAATACTTACGCTGTTTCACTCATCAACAGCCCCCGCGTTGGCTCGCTTCACTTCCATGGGCTGAGTACTGGTACAATACGAGCTACCATAGCTCGACAGGTATGACCCCTTTCCAAGCTCTATATAACCGCCTGCCGGCCACTATTCCTCATTATCGTCCTGGAACCACATCGGTGCATGAGGTGGATTGTGCCATTGTGGATCGCAACGAGCTTCTCAACGAGCTCAAGACCAATTTCGCCATAGCGCGTCATCGCATGAAGCAAAACGCCAACCTCCACCGCCACGAAGAGCAATTCCCCGTTGGCGATTGGGTCTACCTAAAGCTGCAGCCTTATCGGCAACATTCGGTGTTCCGACGTGCCTCTCAGAAGTTGGCGTGTCATTTCTTTGGGCCATACATGATCTCCGAATGCATTGGTCCCGTGGCCTACCGCCTTGCACTTCCACCGGGCAGCCGCGTACATTCAGTTTTTCATGTCTCCTTGCTTCGTTGTTGTCACGGTCCTCCACCTACCGCTATTGTCGACATCCCTCCTATCGACGACGATGGCGCCATATTTCTCCAACCAGAAGCGATCTTGGACACGCGTTGGGTGAAACGCGGCTCTCGCTGGGTTGAAGAACTGCTCAACAAGTGGAAGTCCTTACCGCATGACGATGCTACGTGGGAGGTTGCTGGTGAGTTCCATGTACGCTACATCCAGCTGGGCATTGAGGATAATGCCAATACTTCAGGGGGTGGTAATGATGAGTCCACTCTTCCCGCGGCCCAGCCCACTCGAAGATCAGTCCGGATACCACAGCCGAATCGTCGTTACGTGGGGTAGATCAGTCCGGAACTCACAATGGAGTCCAAGACTGGGGTGTGTTCAGGCGCCTCCTCTGTAGTGAACAAACAACTGAAATGGTTAGTTAAACAGCAGAACAGTTGCTCCTGCCCCGTCGCCTAGCTACCATCGTCATTCCTGAGTTTCTTTATCGTATTCCTTCATCTCCGAGCCGATGCCTTCCTGTGAAAGAAGTTAGTGTTTTGATCTCCGCCCTTCAACCAATCAGCTCGGGAACGTTGTTTCCAATAGGATTCTTCATTGCTCTCCACTTCGTCCATCTCCAGCTCGAGCTGTTTGATCTGGTCCACCACTGCTGAGGTGCGCTCTGACCTTCCCAAAACCTCCAAGGCTCGCCGAATTCGTGCCTTTTGTTTATGGAAGTTTGGGAATGCCCGCCTGCTCCACTTATCCAACTGAGTCCTGCAAGATAATAATTTTGTTAGACAATCCACCTGGATTGGAGGGCACCATGCTTCTTCTACTACTTTCCGGCACTGCTCGTGGCGAATCCAGTAAGGGTCAAACCGGAACGCCCAGCCCCATCGGGGTTCTTCATCTGCATCCCCCTCCGTGTCACACAATATGAGCCTATGATCTTAGTGTTCCTTGGCTAGGTGATTTACCCTCACCTTGGGGAACTTTGCTCGCCATTCATCTGAGGCAGTGAACCGGTCCAATCTTTCCTCTATAAAGCTTCCTCCCACCCGTCGGTTTTCCCATGTAAACTGATGACCTCTGAACCCCAAATCTTGAAGGCCCGAGTCAGTTAGACAATTTTGGAAATCAGACATTCCTTGCTCCATCGCTGCTCTCCCTCCTGTTTTTCCGCCGGTGACAACACTTGGTTAAAATCCCCACAACATAACCATGCTCCCGACCATTGTTGTGTCAGCCGATCAATCACTTCCCATATTTTATATTTATCCTGATTTTCCGGCCAGCCATAGATTCCCGAGAATCGCCATATATCACCATTATCTTCCACTATCCGCGCATCAACATGGTTTAGAGAAATTGACATAACTGTGACGTTCATCCCCTCCTGCCACCAGAGGCTCACGCCACCCGCCCTGCCTCCACGAAATCGATCGGTTGACCAGCTATCTCCTTCCACGAAACCCAACTCTTTCCTAGTACTTTCATCATTCTCATCCTTTATCTGCTTAGTCTCCATCAAGAAGACTAACCAAGTCAATCGAGGCACTCAAGTCTCAACCCTCCTTCCAGATGTGGGTGGATATGCCCATGAAGCCCAAGGAAGGACGCCCAATTCCACTTCCATGAGATCGGGCTTGAAGCCCAATAGCTTGTCCACCTATAATTCAGCGCCCGGGAAGAAATAAAATCTCTCTACGGTTCTTTGTTCTTTCGACGCTCTCTTCTCTATCTCTCTTCTTCTCGGCCTTGAATTCACGAGTGTGAGGGTCGCTGTTGTGACGTGGCTTCATCATCATCCGGTAAAACTACAACTCTTCTCTCTCTGCTCAACAGAGTTCCATCATCACTTTCAGATCCGGATCAAACCGTAAAAATGGCATCAACTTTCAGCGGCGACGAGACTGCTCCGTTCTTCGGCTTCCTCGGAGCTGCCTCCGCACTCGTCTTCTCCTGTAAGTACTCAGTCGTCAATTCAGAGAGCTTTTTAGATTCCGATTTCGATTCCGTATCCCGTGTTGCGGTGGTGGATCTAGGAGGGATCTGAATCTTTATGCGATCTGTGGTTAGTGAATTTTTCTCTGTTTGGGTGCAGGCATGGGAGCTGCCTATGGGACGGCGAAGAGCGGGGTAGGAGTGGCGTCGATGGGAGTGATGAGGCCCGAGCTGGTGATGAAATCCATTGTTCCGGTGGTTATGGCTGGTGTGTTGGGTATCTACGGTTTGATTATTGCTGTGATCATCAGTACCGGGATTAACCCTAAGGCCAAATCTTACTACTTGTTCGATGGATATGCTCATCTCTCTTCCGGACTCGCTTGCGGTCTTGCTGGCCTTTCCGCCGGTATGGCTATTGGCATCGTCGGGGATGCTGGAGTGAGGTAAATCTTTGATCTCTTTGGCTATCGGTTCTGTTTTATTTTATCTAATCGAAGTAGGAGAGTCCCTGTTCATAAATAGAAAGTGTGAATTTGAAACTGATGGTTTGAGTGATATTGATAACTGAAACCTTGTGCATATAGAACATGGTTTTGATGGAGATAGGCCTAGTTACTGATTCTCTGGGAGGTAGTTGGCTTATTTCGTCACAGCGTAAACAAACGATACCGCATTCCAAATCGTTTGGAAAGTTTCACATAGCGCTTGGAATGTTGTTATTAATGTGATGTGAAGTGGTGTTGATCCCTGCCAAATGTGTTCTTGATGCTGTTCATAATATTTCTTTTTCCTGATAAAGCTCTGGTATATCAAGTTTTCCATACTCAATACGTTGTGTTTGTACTAAGGCTTATGTAATGGAAGATTGAAGTATTCTGCTTTAACGTCCATTCTGCAGTTGCATAAGAAGATATAGGCCTTGATGAGGACGTCTATGTCTGAACTTTTTATTGCATATGCATCTGTTGGTTTTTGTATTGATTGCAATCTCCTAAGTGGGTCAGGGGGCTGCTATTGTTACTTGTGTGAAGAGATTGAATCGATGCGTACTCGTGAATGAAGATAGTTCCGCACCTCGGATCATTCTGATATGATACGGTTTGGCACCAGCGGTTTTGGTGTGCAAGGAGTTCGCATTTATTCCTTGTTTCATTTTGTTTGTAAGCACATTCCTGGGACAAGTGCTCCTGATTTTGGCAGGGAAAGCTTCTTTTTTAACATGTGATACTCTTGTTCACTACAGGGCTAATGCACAGCAGCCAAAGCTGTTCGTCGGGATGATCTTGATCCTCATTTTTGCTGAAGCACTGGCTCTGTACGGGCTTATCGTAGGCATTATCCTCTCGTCCCGAGCTGGACAATCCAGAGCCGAGTGAACAAACAGAGAGCCCAAGTCGCCTTTCTTCCATGGGTGATTGTATCTTTATTTTGCCTCATCATTATTATTATGAATCATCTGATATTTTAGACTGCCCACGATTTTTTGTTTAGCTTTCAGTCAGTGTACTGGCTAGACAGTTCCTGAGTATTTCTTTCCTATCACGTTAAATGTACTACTAGATACAGTTGTCTGTGTGGTAATAAGTTTCTCTTCTGTTTCTGCTTCTGCTTCTGCTCATTCGTGATTTAGCCGGATTAGGGCGAATTCTATATAGCTATTGATGATGCCCAACTTGTGAGTACATTATGAGAGCACAAGCTCACTGGGCGCAGGCTGCAATGTTACAGGGTCGTAGTACATTTGTGTTATGGACTTATGGTATCTGATACATATGGAATGAGAAAGCTCAATGAGTCATCGATCATGGCGTAGTGTTTGAACGTTGGTAGTGCCCGATTGTGAGCCATGACATACGGCGTCTTTAACCTCGAGTTAGGGTCCAAAGCTCTTGACTACTAGCAGCCTAAGTGCCTAACCTTAAGAGGACTATTCCAAAAGACCTTGAATATTCATATCTATAGTGGCTAGTCCTGATCCGACCCACCTAGCTACCGAAAATGCTACGAACCATAACCTGATTTCCCCCAAAAGGCTTCAACTGGCAAATCATAATCATATGCAATTTTGATTGCGAGTCATCTTAGATCCTGAGTGGCTCGGGCCACCTTTAGATCCCTAGTCTCGTCATGACCCGCTGACCGGGACAGGTTACGGTGATTACCATAAAAGTAGTAATCACCGTGGTTATTAAGGGTAAATTGGGTATGAAAAATAAATTGTATTAATTAATTATTTTAATAAATTACATCTTAGGTAGTCGACTAGTCGTACCTAGCAATCGGGTCGGGTTGGGTAATTTCGGGTTGTGAACTTCGGTTACGGGTCGGGTCATGTTTGGTTGTCTTATTTCGGGTCAAATATTGACCTAACCCATTCGGTTTCGGGTCGGGTTACAGGTCATTTCGGGTTATGAGCGTTCTCATAAACAATATCAAACGTACTTCATATTTTCTTAAAGAACACAAATTTTCACATATGCATGACAATGGTTTACCTAACACATATCAATTAACATGTTCTCAAATCCTCGCACATTAATGAAATGAAATATAAATTGCGAAAATCGTCAAAAAACAATCACAAAAGTAATACTACTACAAGAAACACATGATATTTGATTATCCTTAAACTCCAAACCTGTCATTTAAATCCTTGTGGTTTTTTTTAAACATCTCACCAATTTATGAGTGATTTTATCATATTTTGGGAGTAATATATTAAATGGAACGGGTCTAACGGGTCGACCCGCTAACCCACCCAACCCGACCCAAAAAATTACGGGTTATCGGGTTCGGCTCATTCGGATTTCGGGTTACAAAAATTTCTAGTTTTTGAGCGGTTTCGGGTCGGGTTGTAATTTGCCAGGTGTATAGGTAGTTACTAAAATCTATTAATTACAATTCTCTCTCTTTCTCTCACTTCCATAATCTCCAGCAAGATCCCCTTTCTTTAATTTTCTCAATCTTTCTGCAAAAGAAACATACACGAAATCACTACCAATTCATTAGACAACCACTACCATTTCGAAAAATATCAATACCATTGCAGAAATAAATCTATACCATTACACGAAAACTACCAATATAAACAATCTACCAATATAAATCTATACCATTTCGCAAAAAAAAAAAAAACCATTGCGTATTTAAATTAATACTAATCCGCTAAACAACCACTACTATTTCGGAAAACACCAATACCATTGCAGAAATAAATCAATACCATTAGGAAAAACAATAGCATTACACTAAAACTACCAATATAAACAATCTATATCGTTACAAAAGTCAAAACAATACCATTGCAGAAATAAATCAATACCATTAAGAAAAACAAAAATATCATTTCATAAAATGAAACAAATAAACCAGTACCAAAAAAGTAAACCCAGATCTAGAGCCTCTCATAGAGAGAGAGAGGAGGAGGAGGAGGGGAGACCTTGGCCGCTGAGTGTAAGAGAGAGAGAGGATGCGAGAATGGAGGAGGGTTGGGGTGGGGCGTGGGAATGGAGAAGGGTTTGGGTGGAGTGGCGGGAGGGTGGTGGTAGGAGAGTATGGGAGGGGAGGAGGGATGGGGTGGGGTGGCTAGGGGTGGGCGTTCGGTCGGTTCGGTTTGAACCGAACCGAACCAGAACATCCCGAATTTCCGAACTTCCCAAGATCCCGACCGAATTCGAACCGAATCGAAATATATCCCGGTTAGGTTCGGTTCGGAGACTCTGCCCGAATTTTCTATCTGTCTCTCTCCCTCCCCACTTTCCCCACTTACCTTTTTCCCCACCCACCATTTCTTCGCAGAACAAGAACCAATTCTATCTTTCTTCTTCTTCTTCTCTCTCTCTCTCTTTTCTTCTTCTTCTCTCTCTCCTAAGATCACAAAGCAGCGCCCAGCGACTATTTTTCCTCCCGTCTCCGGCGATTGACGGAGGGAAGAACTCGGGCAGGCGGCGACAGCGATTGAAGGAGAGAACGACCCAGCGGCAACGGCGACGGCGATTGACATCGATGATTGTGACGATTCCAGCGACGAGGGTTAGAGGTTAGTGATGTTTAATATCCAAGTATGCATGAAAGTTTTGGTTTGCTTTTCTCCTTCGCCTCTACGTCTCTCATCGATTTCGCGTTGCATGTTTATATTTGGTTGAAGTTTTGAAGGGAAGCGATGGCGTCGAGCAAATCTTTGTTTGGGCGTAATGGCGTCGAAGCTGGCAGATCTTGAACTCTGTCGCTGCGGACTCGGGTGGGGGAAGGAACAGAGATGTGAGTTTTTGGTAGGTGGATCGGGTGGGGGAAAGAATGAAGAAGGAGATGGTGTCGCAGACTTGGAGCTTCCGCCGCCTCAGAGGAACCAGGGCTAGGGTTTTACTAGAAAAATGGGACGGGCTTGAGGTTGTTTGGGTTATGGGCTCTGTGGTTGTGGGCTTGGGGGTTGTGGGCTTTGGGGATTGTGGGTGTAAGTTCGGTTGGTCGGCTCGGAAATCGGAATTCGGGTTCTGTTGGACAGACCCTGATTTTCGAAATAGTGAATTCTGCCTTCCGAATTCCGAACCGAACAAAGGATATTTTGGTTTCGGTTCGGTTTGTTTCAGTTTCGGTCCGGTTCGGTTCGGGTTTACCGAACCGGATGCCCACCCCTAGGGGTGGCGGAGGCAGGGAAGAGGGTGGGTGAGTTGCAGTAGGATTATGGTTTGGGTACAATATATAGAGTAATCAGGTGTGATACTTTTTTCATTTTCAAAATTACTCTTATTATAATCTTTATCGTTAATTTAAAAATAGTTTAAAATAAAGATAATGAAGGGTGGAGATTTTGGTAGTCACCGTGATTACTGAAAATTAAGTAACCATGCTAACCCATTCCCCCGCTGACCCACCCAAAGGCGCCTGTAACAAGACATTCATTGTAGGGATGGCAACAAAACCTGAACTCACGGGTACCCACCCGACCCAACTCGGTCAACACAGGTAAAATCTGTGTTGACGGGTTTTTGTCCTGGTTTGGGTTTAAACCCGTTCACTATTCACCGGGTTGGGTTGGGTTTGGGTTTAGGTAAACCCGACCCATGGGTACCCGCCCACCCATATAATTAATTTTCTCGATATATTTAATATTCTAAACAACTAATCTTATTTATGTTTGTGGAGACATGTCTAATTTTTTCTTTCTAATTGTGTAGAATGAAGTTGATGTTATCGAGTGGAGAGTGAAGAAACTTAATTGAAAGGAAGAAGCTTTCAATTAATCATGTTATTTATGAACAATTTGTGATTTGCTTCAATTTTCTTGAATTTTCTAGAATTGTGTTTTATATATGGATAATTTGTTTTGAGAGATTGATATTTAACTTTAATTTTGATAGGAACTTGTTATTGTAATTTTTTTACGACAAAAACCCATGGGTACCCATGAACCCGCGGATACCCAACGGGCTGGGTTGGGTTTGAGTTTTTCAAACCCAATGAATTTTACCTCAGATTTTTTTCACGGATAAACCCATAGATTTAGGTTTGGGTTTGACAAATCCCGATTCAACCCGACCCATTGCCCTAATTCATTGCATGTCTGGTTAGGATTTATAGGAACCACAAAGGAAAGTCCCCCAATTTTGGGACCGATGACGTCACTGCTAACGGAATCAGACATGTTCGTTAATTCCCACCCATTTCCTGGGGAGAAGATGACGCAACTGAACACGTAAGCTTCTCGTGAAGTTGGAACTTGGAAAACAAACCGACTTGTTCCGCAATCCGTACTCTTCTACCGGACGCCGTTTAAGTACCTTTCCATTTCCATCCCTCAACACGGACTGTTACCCGCCACGAAGAGTCTGCCGAATTCTTTCTTTCTTCCTCCCTTCCTTTCCCCTCTGCTCTAGCAGCCGCCGTCTTTGACGCGATTACCGGACGACACCAATCTATTCAGCCGTCGATTTCAATTCCCACGTCGATTCGTAAGTTAATTTATTCGGCGTTGGCCGTTAGTTTCGCGGGGGTTTTTCCTTTCTTTGGCTCAGGAATCTGTATGAGCCCGCTTCGCCTGCGGATTTCCTCGATCTTCTCCGTATCAAGAGTAATGGCGGAAGAACTGGGATCCTCCGCTTCCGCCACCGCCGCCCCTGCTAGCCAGAGTTCAAATCCGGGGGCATCATCATGGGCGAAGACGAGGTCCTTGTGGCCTTCCGTTCTCCGCTGGATTCCAACTTCGACCGACCACATCATTGCCGCCGAGAAGCGCCTTCTTTCCATCGTCAAGTAAGAGATTTTTGGCCACAAGATTCCATTCTGATTCGAATTCAGGATGGGTTGAATTGAATGTTGTCATTTGTCAATTGTCTCTGGACCAACTCCTTGGGGGTTCGAATTCGTCACATTAGCTTCGAATTACCTCTTCTGCTTGAGAATGATGGTGTTCCTGATTGAATTGGTGATTGAATTGCGAACCCTATATCAATTAGGAAGTAGAACATTGACATCTAGCTCGGAAATTTAGGGTTCTTAATGCCATTACAGTACTCTGTCTGGCTCGGAGTTGAATTGTGATAATAATGTGGACTTTGGTGCGGATTTTGCAGGACTCCATATGTTCAAGAGAAAGTGAATATAGGTTCAGGGCCGCCAGGTTCCAAAGTCAGGTGGTTTCGTTCTTCAAGTAACGAGGAGAGGTTCATCAACACGGTTACATTCGACAGTAAAGAGGGTGCTCCTACACTTGTCATGGTCCATGGATATGGTGCCTCACAAGGGTTCTTCTTCAGGAATTTCGATGCTCTTGCTGCAAAGTTCAAGGTCATTGCAATTGATCAGCTCGGGTAAGGGTTTATTTCCAGGGAAGATTGTGATGTAGCTTAGATGTATTGAACTATGAGTAGCATTTGCCTATTTTACTTCCTACTAGTAAAAAAAAGCTTCATTTTTTTAGAAATATTCTTTGTGGATGGAAGATTTGGTCTTCATTGTGAAAATGAGGGTTTTTGTTTGTGTTGTTGACCTGTTCTTCATTCTTTGTGGAATTCCTTTTCCAGTTGGGGTGGATCCAGTCGACCTGACTTTACTTGCAAGAGCACTGAAGGTTAGATTTGGGTTCTGGAGTGCGATTTTTTCTTTCTGTTATGGTGGTGAATTACTACATTGACAGAAGCATCTTACGTGTGCTTGCATTTGATGATGCAGAGACAGAGGCATGGTTTATCGACTCTTTTGAAGAATGGCGAAAAGCTAAGAACTTGGATAAATTCATCTTGCTTGGCCATTCTTTCGGGGGTTACGTAGCTGCTAAATATGCTCTTAAGGTAGTATTTTAGGGATTCTGAATTTCTGATGGCATTTGGTGTTTCAACTTGAATCATCCTGAGCATCGGTTATGTGTGTGTTGTAGCATCCTGAGCATGTTCAACACTTGATTTTGGTGGGATCTGCTGGATTTTCATCCGAAGCTGATTCCAAGTCCGAATGGCTTACCAAATTCAGAGCGACTTGGAAAGGTGCAATCATGAATCATTTATGGGAGTCGAATTTCACTCCTCAAAAGTTAGTTAGGTATGTGCTCTTTGTTCCATAGGCAAAAAGAGGTCCATAATTCGTCATTGGCTCAATTCTGTTAAGTTGGTTTCTCCCGATTGATGACATCGGCTGTTGCTTACATGTGCCCCTCATGTTTCTATCATCAGAGGTTTAGGTCCTTGGGGTCCGGATATGGTTCGAAGATACACGTCTGCCAGATTTGGTGCATATGCAAATGGAGAGATGTTGAATGAAACCGAGTCCAAGTTGCTAACAGGTAATTGCAGGTTTTCCTTTGAACTAGAAACTGTTTAGCACAACTTGGCAAGTTTATCTAATTCACAGATTTTCGACATGCAGATTATGTTTACCATACTTTGGCGGCCAAGGCAAGTGGAGAGCTATGCCTAAAGTATATATTTTCCTTTGGAGCATTCGCTCGAATGCCCCTATTGCAAAGGTTCGATGATCCCTGTATATTCAATTTAGTTCCCCACTTCTCGATTGCCTTACTCTAGGTAGATTTCACTGAGAAGTGCCTCTAGAATGAATGATTGACTTCAATAATTAAGTTCCCCACATGCATCATGTATGAAGTGTGTTCCAAGATTTCTAGTCCATCGCCGAGTTCTTATCTCAGATTCCTTGAAATCTCAATTGTGCTTCAGGGCATCTGAGTGGAAAGTACCGACGACATTCATATATGGAGTCCAGGATTGGATGAACTATAAGGGCGCCCAAGAAGCTCGCAAGGAGATGAAAGTCCCTTGTGAAATAATCAGGGTTCCTCAGGTGTGCACTCTCTTTCAGTCTCTTACTCTCTCACTGATTCTCTCTTTCAGAAAGTGTTTCTGATCGCCACTAAATTTTGCAGGGAGGGCACTTTGTGTTCATAGACAACCCAGTCGGTTTCCATTCAGCCGTGCTCTACGCCTGCAGAAAGTTCATCTCTAGTAAACCGGATAGTGAATCCCTTCCTGAGGATCTTACCCTGGTATAGTAGGACTGGTCTTCTGTATCTTTCTCAATTTTTATTTCTCAAGTTGTGCATAAACCTCAAGTTGAAGTTGCAACATTTTGTATCCATGTAGTGTATTATGCTGTACCATATGACTATGAGTGTATGCTTCAGATTCTGAGACTAATAAAAATCATTTACAACAAAGCCAATTGGATAAAAGAGTGACTTCCAATTTCCTGAGGTCCCCAGGTGAAAATAGAGTGAGGTGTAAAATGTTGGGAAGTGAAAAGATTTTGACAGTGATGCATGGGAGCGGTGAAAGAAAGAAAGAGTGTCACTTTTTTTCCCTTCTCGTCCGTTTCTTCTGTCGTATTTGCTTTATTACTGTGAAAAAGAGTGTATTGAACCAAGCAAATGCGGCATTTGTTGCAGGCCAAACCAGTTCTAGATTTCATTAATTTTGTGAATATTAAAAACGTGGGCCGGATTGCGGTTTAGATCTTACCAAACTTAATTGAAATTATCAGATTTTGATCCTGAAATTTTCAATATAATTAAAAACCGTGATTATTATGATTTGGTCCAATTTAAAGTGGATCATATTGTTACACAACCGAAAAATATCCAATATTAATTATACTATCCGGCCAATTGGCCGGGTCATAAGCTAGTTTATAAAATTATTATTACAATACAACATTGGATGACAAACTTTTACTAGTCTTTAGAACATCCACAATGCACAAGTAAAAAATGTACTTTTTTTTACCTATACCTATAATTTTCGGTTTATCCTAGTCTAATTTAGGTAGTAATCTATTAACTAAACAAACATTTTTTGTGTACTTTATTTTAATCTGGACATAAATTTTTTGTCATTTAATATAACGTCATCCATGGAAAAAATGTAGTAACTAGTTCAGATTGCCATAGATTCACCACATATTTGTCAAAATGTGCTGTCAATTGTTCAATGATCACGTGTTCTTAAGGTTTTAAAACAAATGTGGAAGTTAAGGTGCCTCTGAGGTTGAAGTTTCCCTTAGTTTTACAAAATAAAATAAAAAAGATATTAATGTGGCAAAGTAAATCTAACCTACTACCTGACGACTAGTGAAGGAAACAAGAGGGTGAGATATCGCATAGGCTAGCTCCCCGTACATTCCTATGACTCAAAGCTCTTATCCAGCCAACATATGAGCTGCTTACTGAGTTTATTACTATCTTATGCCATGACATTTACCAAAACTATTAGGCAAGGATGATAACCCTACGAATGTATCCTTTGAGGAAGTAGACATTGTTTGATCAATTGATGATCGATTGCGAGGGACGGTCGAGTCCAGGCACATCCACCAGGAAACTCGGATTTAAGGATGTATCATTTGAAGACAGTTCTCATATTACATATAAAATCGAACCAAAATAAACCAAGCATAGAACTCAAACATAAGAAAATGATGAAAGCAAACTCATATATTTATATGAAAATCAAAGGTTAACATAGTAAAAAAAAAAAACATTTAGGATTCGCCAACCAATGCAAATAAGGAACTAGCTGCTCATGAGAATAAGTTTCTGGTGGATCATCAGTCAAAATAAGATCTCTAGAAAAACATGAAAATCTCGGCAGCCACAACAGGACATAGCCACCAATTTTGGTGTTAATTTACCCCTCAAATTTGGCTTCGCTCTAAACATGTGAGTCATTCTATCTGTAGAGTAACGACCTCTAATGTCTTTTATCACTATTGTCACTGCATGTGCAATGTGGTACCAGTTACTCTTGGCTATCTAGTAAAACCTGCATTATCTAATGATAAAATCCTTACATGGTGTGGCGATGATGTAAGGATCTTTATTGATGAATCTGGCGAAAGAGATGAACAATGGGAAATAGAGGATTTACAGAGAAGAAATGAAGAAGGGAAGTCTGGTTTCTATAAAACTACAACTAAAGTAGGGAAAGGAACTAGCAATTTACACAATTGGTCAAAGACACCCCTTATGCTAACAGCTATATCTATTTATACTTTGGCTATCTGCACACGTCATCACACAGCTGGCTCGGGTTGTTACAAAATCCTCCTCCTTCAAACACAGCTTGTCCTCAAGCAGAAAATTCAAGTTGGAAAAGAGGTAAACTGCAACTTGAAGGTCGACAGTCCCAAGTTGCCTCATCTGGTGTCTGGTTCGATTGGTGCACTAATCACCTGGCCAATATATGGAAGTTGGACAATAGCCTTGGTTCTAGGAGTTGGACAACAGCTCTCACGTGAGTTCCAGTCTTCAGGTAGTGGAAGAGTTTTACAAAACATCTCAACCAACTCCGTAGCTATCAAACACAAAGACTGGTTGAACACTGCTACAATTCAAATAAGCACAACCCAAGAGTAACATAGACAGATTATAGCATAATTTCACAAGGCATCCAATGATTTCTCGGTATGATCCACTCTTTCAAAACTTAGCTTCGTTGCTGCGAAAGTAGGCTCCTTTTTAGCAGGTGAACTAGACTTTCATTCTTGTTTGCAACATCCCGTTGACTAGCTTCAACAAGACCTTCTCCTTCAACAAAATGTAAGCTTTCAATTTGCTGGTTATCCAATCCAGCAACAGCAACAAAACCATCTACCATGGCAACCTCTTCTTTCTGATCTTCTTTTTTCCGTAGCTAAGTCGATGTCCAGACAACCACTACGCCCAGACTTGAGACTGCCTCACTTTGAAGCAGCTTCTTCATAACCGAGTGCACCGAGTTAATTTCTTGTGCATGCAACCCTTGTGCATTTAACCCATTATCTTCCTCACTCAAACCATAAATTTGTTTTCTATTAACAGACTCAACATCACCACCATGCTCTTCACAATCCTTGTAAGGGCCTTTAAAATTCGGTCAGGTGCACCCCTTATGAGAACTCAGGCGAACCACATAATATGTTGGGAAAATTGAATAAAATTTCTTGTAACCTTTGCTAAGTGTTCATGTATGAACCCACCATCAACAAAAGCTTTGAAGTCGTAGTTATCATATGAGTCACTAATAAATATGTCAATGGTTTGCAACTTCTGATGGTGATTCGCAACAGAGGAAACAAACATGGCCCACTCATATGAGTAAGGAGACTGATTTGGCAACGAAGCAGTCCAGAAAAGGCTTTGGGAACATAATTCATGAGAAGACGTTAGGACTTCAAGAGAAGAAAATCCTAGGAAAGGAGAGATATCTGACGGAATTGAGGATTCAGAAGTCGATGAACTAACGGGAGAATAAGCACAATAATTGATTGGATATACATCAGCTGACGAAGCAAAAGGCAACAGAGCAAAAGTTTGTGGGGAAGAAGGCAAAGAAACTGTAGGCGTATTTGAGGAGTTGGAAACGAAGCAAAGATGGTGGAAAAGAAGGCAAGACAATCAGCTGTGGTTCTTGAGAAGAAAAAATTGGGACTTGAATTTTTGGAGAAGAAGCAGCAAAAGGAATTAGGGTTTCCAGTCTTGGTGTAGACAGGGGAGAAACCCAATCGAAAGTTGGAGAAGAAACCTGGGGGTCGGCGGTTGAGTCAGATTGCCCGGAGAAGGTGGAAGAAGGAACCCACACATGAGGATCCAGAATCGACGGCCGACACAATGGCAAACAAAATTGTTGTTGTTCGGCGAACTGATTATGATTCGCGTGCCATGGAGAACGGACCGGAGAATCGTCCCGCCACCGCTCCAACAAAGCAGTGAGGGTGTCGAGTTTGACTTTTGTCAAAGCCGCGAGAGAACCAATGGCAGCCTACAGATCTTTATGCTGGAAATCCATCTTGAACTGACTGGCCACCATTATTTGTGTCTCCAAGTCGGCGATTCGCAAAGTATGTGTTGCCATAGCCAGATTACAGGCTCCTGATACCACTTGTAAGGATCTTTATTGATGAATATGGCGAAAGAGATGAACAATGGGAAATAAAGGATTTATAGAGAAGAAATGAAGAAGGGAAGTCTTGTTTCTATAATACTACAACTAAAGCGGGGAAAGAGAAAGTAACTAGCAGTTTACACAATTGGTCAAAGATACCCCTTACACTAACAACTATAGCTATTTATACTTTGGCTATCTGCACACGTCGTCACACAACTGGCTCGGGTTGTTACAAATGACGACAGTTGAGAGAAGATCATCAATGGGTGGATGGCGATGGGGTGGCGTGGCGATGTGTCAATGCAAATGGAGAAGGGATGCCGGTGCAGTTGGGGAGCTGGAGCGCTGAGATGTAGCAGAAACACAACATCAATTGCTTACTCTTCTTCCTTCCAGTTGGAGCTACGGAGCATTGAGATGTAGAGCACAGGATCAACGTCAAATTGCAACCGTATAAATTGGACCATGTGGGTGTGAGCTTTTTCTTTGTCGAATTGGAACATCCAAGAAGATAAACGTGTTGGGTCGGGCTTGGAATGTGGAATTGAAGCGTAGGGGGTTGAGCTTAAGAGTGTTAATTCCATATTGGGTGGGGTTTAGTAGGTGTGATTGTTTAAGAGGTTATTAGCAGTTAATCATATAGATTTCTCTTATTCGGTGCGGTTAGCAGTTAGCCGCATAACCGCAAAACATATCATATTACTAACCGTGATAATTTAAGGTCCCTCTTAACCTATGTACGGTTAACCACTAACCGCTCGATTGCAGTTCGATGACATTTAACCTCTTAAATCTCACTCATTTTTGTGTCCTTGCTAGTTGCTAGCTAGCTTACTAATTGTTGGTCGAGAAGACATACACTACCTTGTGTCATATATATGATTCAAACTAATCGTATACCTAACATATGCTAACTTTATCATATGTACATCAAATGAAAATGTTGGGATCCAATTTATGAGTACAGTTTAGGCTCGTTTAGAGAAAAGGATTTGGCCTATGGACTGATTGAATCCATAGATTGAGCAGAAAAATAGGTTTTTTCCTTGTATTTTATCATAGATTTTAATTTCAGAGGTTTAAAATTTCTAAAATCTAAAGATACTGAAATATCAAATCTCTAATAATGAGAGAAATTTTATATATTCATTTGTGAGATTTTTGTTTCTCCTACAATATCTCTTCTTCTCTTATTTATCCCTCTCAATATTCTTATCAATAAGTTTTAAAGATTTTGAGTCACTCAGATTCTTTTAATTAAGGCTAAACATGTCATTTGCTAAAAAACAAAATTTCTATTTTAATTGAATGTTAACAGATATGGTTACCAAACAATAAAAGTTTTAATTTTTATTTCCGACAATCCGGAGAATAAAAAACTTAAATTGTTTACAATATGGAAAACTAAATATCACCATGATTTATCAACTCTTGCCGTGGTTTGTGTGCGGTATTCAAGCAAGAAGAAAGAAAATACGACTAATTGATTATTTAGGTTGATCGAAAAAAACTGGATTAGCAAAATACAGAGACAAGAAACGAAGCAAACACGTGTAGCGCCATAACTGCAGGTAGGGATGGCAATTTCGACCTGACCCGATTTACCCGACCTGTTTGACCTGTTTTGGGGCGGGTCAAACCCGCCCCGTAGGCGGGGCGGGGCGGGCATGGGTACCTCTCATCGACCCGACCTGCCCTGACCCGCCCCATTCTGGACCTGTTCTTGCCTAAATTACATATAATCTTAGTCAAATTACTTAAGATTTTCCTCTTATTACATTATATTTTAGCTATAATAAAATTGTAAATAAGTGAAAACTTCAATTTTTTCAGTAATTTAACTACATTTTATCATATTATGGTTTCTTTCTTGGTCTTTCAATGAAAAGAATGAATATTTCTAATGTTTTTCACATAAATTACATACCCAATGGGTCGACCTGCCCCGACCCGCGCCCCGTCATAAATTACCCGACCTGGACCCGACCTGCCATGGGGCGGGTATGGGTATCGAGATACCCGCCCCGGACCTGCCCCATTGCCATTCCTAACTGCAGGAAGTAATTAATTGGGACGGTAATTAACGATAATCCCAACTCATTGACGTTGACCGCCAATCTTCAAATTGAGGTTGGATGCACACTACAAGCCGCATGACCTCCCAACCTAACCTACTCTTTTTTTTTTCTTTTTTCTTTTCTCAAATAGATAGATTAAAATAGCCGTAGAGATTAGTGATCCACTGATCCTACATACATTCACATTCACGATGAAATGAATAGTTTCTCTTTCGCCTCCAAGTAGTGATTAGGACTTAGGAGTGATATGTACGGGTAACTTGAAGGTTCTATGTATGTGGTTGTAGTTAAATAAAACCATATATTATAGTCACATCATTTGATCATAATAGTGTAGTGGATACAAGAGTGTACGTATTTAATACTAATGTTTACTAGTAACATTAAAAGTTAACTGGAATAGTGAGGATTTATATACGAGTAACATCAAACCGACGCCATGTACGGAGTGTTCAAATAGTCAAAAGATGAATCATTTTCTTACCCTCATAGCTCCAATAGCGTGTGAGCGAGCATATGTACGTCCACTGGCGGATCCAGGGGGTGGCCACCCCGGGCCCCGGCCCAGCCCTCCTCTGAATCCGGAGTTAGTATAGTCTTTATGAATTTTTCGATTTTAGTTATTCGGCCCAGTGTTATTTTACAACAAAATTGGGTGTAACTAGAAAAATGATTCAAATTAACATATTAAAATCACTACTATAAATTTAGCCTAGAAATTCTACCTCCAAAGATTATTCTTCTAAAAAAACAATGAAATCTAAAAGTCTAACAGTCTAAACGTAAAAGACTATAAGAAATATGAGTTTTATTCCCTGCAAATTTACTAAAACAGCTAGTGGATATAGGTATGGACACACAATGCACGATTGATTTGTCTAGCGTTGACGCTGATCGTATCACCAATTACTACAGGGAGAACCTTTTCAACAATGAAACATATGAAAACTTATTTGTGCAACAAAACGAGCAATGAATTTCTCGCTGATTGCTCAAGTATTTTATTTAAAACAGTGTATACTATTGGTATGGATGTAGACTCCATTATTGATGTATTCACTAAATTAAAATACCATCGTGTACAATTTATATTGTAAAAAAATTATAATATTTTTTTACGATTCTAATTTTCTAATGAAATGCGGCCCAGTGCTCTTCTGAGTTCTGGATCCGCCGCTGTGTACGTCACTTGTTTGTATACCCGGTTTCTGAGTTCAAATTTAGCTAACCATTTGTCCTAAAAGAGATATTGAGATTACTGTTTAACGTAAAATAAGATTCTTTTTAATTCGAACGAGTTCCTTATCATGAAAATATATTGGGTTATTAGGCAAAATATAAGTTAATTAAGTACGTGACACGTAATTGTAATAACATAAAGACGAGAGTTGCTCGGAATGGTATAATATCTTCATTCATCGATATATAAAGTCTATTAATATAAATATTGAAAATTTCGATTCTCCATCTCGATCGAAAAAATTATTACCGTACTAAACCACATACTCAACTCTTGTTGATAAGGATTAAAGTCTGAAACATGAGGAAACATTTAAAATATTGTTAAAACAAAATTATTAATAAATGGAATTTCTATGATAACCAAAACTACTTTTTTTTATCTAACCAAAAATACTTCTTACCACGTTTCGGTTTGGTAAAGCATAATTGGGAAACAAAATTTGAAAAATTAATGATGGTATCTGGTATGAAAAGGCCGCCGAATCTCTCCTTTGATGAAATTCCAAAATTAAAATAAAAAATTAAGAAGTTGATAACCATTAAACTGTCTCAACTATACAAATGGTTACTAATGTTAAGGATCACAACAATTGATCACTCAACTTTAACTTTTAACAATTTGTTACTTAAACTTGGAACAATTCACATTATAGTGCTCTCATAAGTTTTTTTTCTACGAATATAGTGTCTTGATACAAGAATTTCAATCCTCAATATATCTGCATTCTGGAGTAACATTGTTCCATGTCTTCGAAGTTAAAGTTGTAGAAACCTTCTCTTACGTGTTCCATGGATGAACTAGATTACTACGCAAATAAAACCGTATATACAAGTAAGAAAAACTTTCATGTACATCCTTACTAATCGATATAAAAGTTTGATGTCATATTTTATCTGAACCATACTTGTCCAAAACGGGATGCTTAAAAAGTGTCTCAGCCTTTATTCATTAACCAAATAGGGGGTTCAACCTCGAGCAAATCAAAGTCCAGTACTGCAACCCTGAATCGTTACAAGTAGCAAAATGGTAACATAGACTAGTATAGTAATTATGATTCGCAAGGTAATTCATTATGTGATTACATCCTCTATACTTATGTGAGATTGAAACTTCCCATCACAACCTAATAATTCCCTAATGTAGATGGCAGTGATCGGCCTCTGCATTACTCATGAGCATACTCAAAGTCATACGAGAATTTAGCTTGATTTAAAGTCTCTCGGCCCTTGATCTTCATGCTATCTTCATTCTTTTAAAGATTTGCCCATAACCCGAATCATGAGATAGTAGAAGAGACCGAGTTTATCCGTAAAGGAAAACGTGCACATGTTGTTTAAGTTGCGAATCAAACCCATTGTCGTTACTTTATCATCACTTCGCATATAACCGTATTCTTTTAATCTAATTAGAGAGTCAATGCTAGCTTTCCTTTATCATTACTTTCTATGAATCGATATATTAAAATGTAAACATATATACCAAATATCAATAGAGATTGACCAAGCGACTCTTGTAATAGCAATTCAGAATATAATTATGAATTCTCTAAAATCAAAATTCAGTGGCCGATTACTTAAGAACCCAAAGTCTAGTGACCGTTTATGTAATTGACCCTTAAATTACTGAATCGCCCGGCCACTGCTCAATAGACGGCGGAGATAAAGGAGCCTGTGTCTGTTGGAAGAGAAGAAAGGGAGAAAGACGACGAGCTCCTCTGCTAAAACATCGGTGCCGCCGATGAATAATTTTTCTTTTGAAGAACTGATTCGCCAATGAAAGAAACCGCGTGAACTCCCCGCCACGCGCTTCTTCTTCCCCTCTCTTTTTTCTTTTTCTTGCTTTTTTAAGCTAAGCGGTCGGACAAACCAGAAACAGAGAAGACAACAGAAGCAGACAGTGAGTACCAGAAACCTCATTTTCAATTTTTTTTTTAATGTCATTTCAAGCTTTGTTCTCCATTTCGATATTTTCCTGCTCTCCTTCAGCTATCGGACAAGCCGCTAGGAGGACTCGGTTTTGTAATTACCGCCATTTCCCCTTCTCCTTACAGTTGGCGTTTGTATCGCATTGTACGGACGTCCCTTTCCGCCGATTGAATCAAGCAGAAGAAGAGAGAGAGGAGGGAAGAAGGAAGTAAGAATGACCCATTTCATTTCATCATTGGTACTTCCGAAAAGTATTGTTTTTTATCTGAATTTAAATATGGGTGGTCGCAATTTTTGTTTGTCTTGCTTCATTCTCCCATCTAGATGCTAGGGTTTGAATTGTTGTTCGTTGCGTCTTGAAATTGGGTTCAATTCAGTCCCTTCTTCCTTTTGCGGTCTTGGTCATATATAGGGTTTGTCAGTGGGATAAAAAATGTTGAGCAAAGTTTTGATGGTTGTTGTGGTGGTACAGATTCTGTGACCATCCGTACTGTACCATTCTTCATCGGCTAGCTACTGAAGCAGCTGCCAACTGCCCCAATCTGTGGTTTTAAATAAGGTTTCCCGAGGGGTTTTTGTGAGACCTCAAATGTGTGATACCATGCGGCAATCTTCACCAAGTCTAGGCCTAGAAGAGAGCAACAACAACAGCAGCAGCAACAGCAACAAGAGAATTGGGTTGCCTCCTTCTCATCCAAACAACCCTCATATTTTTGGTTCTGGGGGTGGTGGCTCTGGGGCTAGCGGAGTAGGGCCATCTCATTTGAGGTCATTGTCTCAATCCTCCATGTTTTCTCTCGATTGCCTCCCTCCGTTGAGTCCCATGCCTCATCATCCCTCGGTTCCAACTCCTGTGTCTATGGAGGAAAAGGCTGGATTGCCACCTCGTAGAGGACACAGGCGATCGATGAGTGACACTGTTCCATTAGGGTTCTGTGCCATGATCCAGTCTTCCCCTCAGTTGATACCTTTACCGGGTCAAGGTGGATTCGATTTTGTGAAGCAGGAGTTGGGTTGGGGGGGAGATGGGGATGGTAATGTGGAAGGGATGGGTGAGAGGCGACGGCAAGAAAGGGAGCCTACTGATGAGATGCTGAGTGCTTATATGCAAATGGATAATATTGATCCGTTGAACTCTTCGGGCACCGAGGATAAGGATTTGGACAGCAGGGCGAGTGGGACTAAGATGAATGGGTCTGAGAGCAGTGATAACGAGGCAGAGAGTCATGTTAAGGGGCTGAAGAGGAGTGCTGATACTGAAATTGGGCCTGCTGGTCGACACCATAGGAGCGTGTCAATGGATAGCTTCATGGGAGGTTTAAGGTTGGATGACGAGTCGATGAAACTTCCTCCTAGCATGAACAGAGTTGGTCAACTAAACTCCCCTTCCAGCTCAATGCAAGGGAATTTCAGCAAGTTCAACTTGGAGTTTGGGAATGGCGAGTTTACTGATGGGGAACTGAAGAAGATCATGGCTAATGACAAGCTTGCCGAGATTGCAATGGGTGATCCAAAACGGGTTAAAAGGTAATCTTATCTCTTTTCTTCTTGTTTTATCAGTCCACATTGAAGCATTTTCTTATCTCTGTTCAATAAAAACTGTAGGATATTGGCAAATCGTCTGTCTGCTGCTCGGTCTAAGGAGCGCAAAATGAGGTACATTTCTGAATTGGAGCAAAAGGTGCAAACTTTACAGTCAGAAGCAACTACATTGTCTGCCCAGGTTACAGTTTTGCAGGTTGGTAGTCTTACTTCATCAACAAGATTTCTCTTGGTCTGTAGTCCTTCTGTTCTTCTTTACTCACAAGTAATCTCGCCTATATGCAGCGTGATTCCTCAAATCTCACAAGCCAGAACAATGAACTCAAATTCCGTCTTCAGGCAATGGAACAACAGGCCCAGCTCAAAGATGGTACGTCTCCTTTGATGCATTAAATATTTGTTGACATAATTATCTGAGACGAATATGTTAGCCGTAGGTTGTCTGGTCTCATTACTTCGGATGCACGGTTTTTGGGGGAAAAAAGAATCCCGGATTTTCGGGCAGTTTCTGGTACATAGTTTGTGCATAATTTTCCTGTCGTGAAATTGATTCAATAATCTCCTCAAACATTTCGACTGATCCTCTCTTACTCAATTTTGAGCATCTTAATTTTTTAGTTGGTAAAACAACTTTGAGCATCTACTAACAAAATGGTGGTCTTAGTACCGGTCAACGATAGTCAATTATACTTATTGACTTCCAATTTGGGCGTGGATCTCTAAAGTGTAGACCCGAATGCTGATTCTTTCCCCCACTTGTTGATGTGTTGGCAGCTCTGAATGAAGCACTGGTTGCAGAAGTCCAACGACTGAGGCTCTCTGCATCAGAGCGTGGAGGAGCAGATGCTCATCAGCAGCAGCACCAGCAGCTTCCTGCTAATCATCCTCTAATGCAGCAGCAGCAGCAGCAGCGTCAACTTACCGGTCAAATGAATGCATATCATCATCAGCAACAGCTAAACCAATCATCGCAATCTCGAAGCAGCGAATGAGTGTGTTGATTTGGAAACCTCCTGCACATTCTGGGATTCATGATACAATATAAAATTAGTACAAAGGGTTCATGATATAGACCGAGACAATTCGTTTACTGATATATATTTACATATCATTCTTTGGGTGAAGAAAGAAGGTAATTTATTTATTTTAGGTTGGAGGGAGATATTACAGACTACAGGTTTACAGAAGATTACAACAGATTCAGTAACTAAACCATTCATTTGTTCTTTGTATTTGTTTGTCAGCTTGATGTTCGGTTTCTCCTATTCATTCTTCTTTAGCAAAGACATAAATCGTGTCTTCTTCATTTCAGAAGGCATTGTTGTAATGTTTGCCCGTAATACAGAACGTTGGATATTTGGAAACTCTTTCACTTTCACAGTTCCATTTTTTTCCTTCTTTTAGTTTTAGTTATAGGGTAAATAACAAGTTTGGTCACTGCCACTGGGTATTAAAATGTGTCATGTTTAGTCATTGGAAAAAATTCATATCAATAATTGTCACTAAATTTAGTAAAACATGTCATATTTGGTCACTCTTCGTCCAACTCTTTTAATGAAGTCCGTTAAGTGCTAACGTGGCAAATGGAATCGCATAATCATTCGGATTTAACCCACAAAAATCAAACCCGACCCGCCACGTCATTAAAACCCGCCACATCATTAGAAAACAACCCAACCCATAACCTCAGGGGCGGAGCCAGGATTTGGCGGTCGGGGGGCCGGATTTCTTACTCTATAATTGCGAGAATACGTTAAAATTAATTAAAATAATCAAGAAAAACAGATTTGTTATATTATTATAACTATACTTTTTTAAGATGGTTAAAATAACTCCAAAAATAAGATCTAAAGTTCAAATTTCTAACATGATAGGTTCAATATATATTAAAATAAAAAATCAATTAAAATGTAATTCAATGTAGTGTAAGTGTGTAACACATTTTATTTTCATTCAAAATAAGATCTACACTAATACCTTGACATGTTTGATATAAAATTAGAAACAAACTAACAAATTAATAATGCATTTCAAGTCAATATTATGTAACTCATTCTAATTTCATAATTTCAAAATAAATACCTAAGACCTTGGTTTAATATCACAAATTACAGACATTTTTAAACCCCAAGACCTAGAAAGAGTAAACAAGCACCGCATCCGCTGGACTACCAAGTATTGCTATGTTAGTTTGGTGGACTGTGATGTATTTAATGGTTCTTAAGTTTATACGAAAATCTCAAAATGTTCGGAATGTTTACACGTAGCTTTCAAAATTCTGGAGGGGCCGGGTCCCCCGAGAGCCTACCTAGCTCCGCCCCTGCATAACCCCTTCTTTTCTTCTCTATTTGACCCGACCCGAACCTTCTTCCTCCTTCCTCCCACCTCCTGCTTTCTCCAAATCCTCCGATCCATTGCCACTTCCTCTTCATCATCTTTGATCCCAGCTGAGGCACTGTAACAAAGGAGGAAATCCGACCATCGGCGGCGACGGCCATAAGAGGGCAGAAACCAATGAAGGCTTCCACATGACAGCTGGTTTGAGATCTATATATTGTCTTCCACAATCGAATCAGGGAACCCTATAAGAGACTGAGATTGAGAAAGAAGGAATTGGGGGGAGGGGGGGGGGGGGGGGGGGGATCTTGTTTGGTCTGCGGCCACAAGGAAAGAATTGAATGGAGGAGAGGACTTTTTGCGATGGAAATGAAAGTTGAAGGGAGGGTCGGTCTTTGTTTTTTGGCCATGGAGTCGGGGTGGGGAAGTTTGCGGATGAGGGTGGGAGGAAGTGAACAAACATGACATGTTTTACTAAATTTGGTGACCATTATTGATATTAATTTTTTCGAGTGACTAAACATGACATAGTTTAGTAAACCCAGTGATCAAACTTGGCATTTACCCTTTAGTTATATGTTGACATTTGCATACTATTTTTATATGTCATGACTACGAAGACCCGTATAACAATTCAGAACAAGTTCAAATCAAGTCACATATCATAATTATGACAACTAGACCATGCTCATTACAACAAGCATACTACATACAAATATCAATCATAGTGAAGTCCAATTCAGAACCCAATATCATCATTACACATTACATATCATATTCTGACAACTAGACCATGCTACCAACATGCCACATAAAAATTACCAATCAAACTGAAAGTAATGACTTCAAACAACATTTCATAAATTACACTCTACCTATAACACTATGACACCTAGATTATCATACTCACTACAACTGTCATTACTAACTCAAATTACAAACGATATTATGCACAATAAACTTGTAAATGTATTGCAGTCAATATGATACTACCTATACCATTGTGACAACTAGATCATCATACTCACGATAACGGTCATTATACAACCAAACCAATAATGAGAAATAAAGTCATATTGAACTCATTATAAAAGATAGTTTGAAATATAAACTTATAACGTATTGTGGTGAGTATAACACTACCTATAACATGATGACAACTAGATCATCATCTCATCACAACGGTCATTACAAACCAAACCATTAATGAGAAGATCAGTCATACTGAACTCAAATGACAAAAGACAATATGCACAATAAACTCTTAACGTATTGCACGGTAAGTATCACACTACCTGTAACATCACGGCAACTAAATCATCATACTTCCCATTACGGCCATTACTCAACCAAACACCAACGAAAAAAAATAATAGTCATACTGATCTCAAATTACAAAAGGTGGTATGCACAATAAACTCTGTAACGTATTGTCAGTCTCCTGCACTATACTCATGACAGCGGATATTATCACTTCCCCTCGTTTCTTCCGTCGTTCCCGTCACCCTAGTGAATTTCGCGTGATCCCCCAAACCCTTTTCCCCTTCTATAAGTAATATTCCTAAACCAGCTCTCTCATCACTCAAATTCCATAAACTAGAACTCCTCTAACCATGAAATTTCTATCGATCCTCATTGCAGCAGTTCTCGTCGCCGCCGTGACATTGTCCGCCGGCCCGGCGGTGGCAGAGGTGAAGTGCAACCAGGTCGTGCAGTCTCTGATCCCCTGCATCCCTTACCTCACCACCGTCGGCAGCGGCGCCACGCCATCTGCCGGTTGCTGCGACGGAGTAAGGAAGTTGAAGAAAATGGCGCAGTCGCCTGGGGACAAGCGCGCCACCTGCGAGTGCGTAAAGCAAGCAGCTGGGAAGTACTCGCAGGGCATTAAGCCGGAGGTGGCGGCTCAGTTGCCCAAACTCTGCGCCGTGGAGATCAGCGTCTCAATTTCCAAAGACACCGATTGCACCAAGTAAATTAGCTAATTTGTTGGAGTTGCCTAATTAATTACTTTTCTGGGTTTTAGTTGTTATTATTTTTTTAATGACTATGCTGATTGGAATTTGGCAGGCTTTCAGCTCGTGGCAGGGTTTTGGAAGGTGGAGGAGCATGAAGCTAGGAGGCGATGGAAAGGGGAGTGTTTGAAATAAATAAAGCTCTAATAAAATATTGAGCGACCCCTTTAAATGAGAAAAAATGTGTTGATTTATTAAGTTGTAACGTTTTCTACCCAAAAAAAAAAAAAATTAAGTTGTAACGTTAACAAATCAAGTTTGGAAATGAAAATTCCTGATAATAGGAAGTTCCCGTACTTGTTTTTGCTATTATTATGCTATTAAATTGTGACATGAATATGGTCACTAAAAAAGGCGACTTGGTTGTGGGAGGTTCAGTTAATCAGTTTTCTGGGACTATAAGTGAAAAAAATCGGTTGAGACTTGAGAGTGCTTTTTTGATTGGTTGATTATTTTTGAGAAGATGAAATACATAGGAGGAGAAGAAGTGAGTGAATTGTTTCTCCCGAAGTTTCGTCAGAAGTGGGAAGAGGGCACAGAGAGAGTGACGGTAAGTGAAGGAGGCAGAGCTAATTTGACAAAAAGATCTATGAAACATTTTTTGGTCTCGGATCGGGGGAAAGAGTGATGAAGATTGTATTTGGGAGATTCGGAGCAGGATTGAGGTCAAGAAGTTTCTGACGAAGGCCAGAGAGTTCACTCTAGATTTGGCAGAATTAAGACCCTTCATTTGACTTTCCAGTTGCACCATTTGCTTAAAGACAACTTCGATACTTGCAGCTGAGAATTCATAAGTACTTGGGTACCTTGCATAAATTTGATGATGAAGTCTTGTTCCTGATATCGCTTCACAGTGTAGTAAGGACTGTTAGTGCATGGACAACACACAATTGGCCTATACATAGTGTATTCTTGCATTTGGTAGTGAGAGCTGTGCAATATTGAAACACTGTCATTTCTCCTTGAACACATTTTAGCAATTTGTTACTTCAATTCATACACACGAATGTTATCTTCTTGCCCAAAACGATCCTTCAAATTATCCCAAGTTTCCTTAGAAACCTTGAAAGGTACTACACGGTGGGCTAGTCATCAGATAAGGAATTGTAAAGCCAGCATCTCACAGTACTATCACATCTATGCCAAGATTTCCGAGTTGGGTCACCCCTATTCGGTTGAAGAATGATACCATTCACAAATTCAAACCTGTTCTTAGTACCGAGAGCTAATTCCATTATCGACTCAAGAGATTATAGTTCTGATCTGTCAATTTCATAGAGATGATACTTGTAAGTCCACCATTGTGAGGCGACAGATAATAGGGATTCGATTATGGATTCTCGTAGCGAGCCATTTGAGCTGCTGTTGTTGTGTGGAGAAACCCAGATCCACCAGGCGGAGGAGTAGCTGTAGAAGAGCCAGTGCCACCACCAGGTGTTGTAGTGTGTGGCGGGTCTTGAGTAGTACAATCGACCGACTCAGAACTATCTGAGATAACACCATCAACTCTAGTCACCGGACCAGCCATAGCGAAGGAAGGATGTTAGGAAAACGATCTGAAACAAGCAAAACGAGTTGAGACGAGTAGAGACCTAGTTGTTCGAGCAACCATGCTCTGATACCATGAGAAGAAAATGAGATTAGGGTTTTGTGTGAAGGGTTCTTAATTTGAGACCTTCTGGTTTTCTGTATTCCAATATATACTAGGTTTTGTACAACAGGGAAGAAAATGTTTGTGATTAGCAACGGTTAATCAACAGTAAAAGAAAACAGAAAAACAAAATAACCAATAATTAACTAACTACGTTTAAACTAAAACGAGACTCCCTGGATAATGGAACGATGGCATTTCAACTCTAATCCTCGTTTCTGGATGAAAGACGAACGACACCGTTCCAGCGATGCTTCCACTAAGAAGACTTCCTCCTCTGCTTCTTCTCTTCACTTCGGTAGCAACCTGCAAGAGTAGAGGAACACGATGAAGATCAAAGTTGCGATGTAGTTTGGGATCAACCTAGCTCTCCAATATTGATGAAGGGAAAGCATGGCGTATGGGAGAGCGGGAGAGAGTTGAGGTGGAAGAGGACGTCGGCGGCAGCAATGGATTCGCCTCTTGCTAATTTCGTCTCTCTACTTTGGTGGAGATAGTAATTAAAGATTTAAAAAAGAAACATGTGGACGCATTCTATTGGGGCGGTGCACGAGTTACGTGGTACACCCGATGCACCCAAGAATTTCCTAGAAGACGGTTATCTTATGATTTTTTATTTTTTTATATTCGTCATAGATATTCACGAAGGGAAGCAATATACATACATATGATAATATACAAAGTATAGTAAAATTAGAATTAGGAATTTGAATAAGAAAAATATGATGACCTTTTAGTTATTAATTTGTGTATTTAAAATAATAATTATGAAATTATTATAATTGAGCTGGGAGCTAATGTGTTGACTTCAAACCTGGCAATCGGGTCGGGTAATTTCGGGTTGGGGCCTCCAGTTACGGGTCGGGTCATGTTTAGTTGGCTGATTTCGGGTTAAATAACCCATCCATCCGATTTCGGGTCGGGTTACAGGTCCTTTCGGGTTATGAGCGCTCTCTGAAACAATATCAAACATGCTTCATATTTTCTTAAAGAACACAAATTTTCACATATGCATGACAATAGTTTACCTAACACATGTCAATTAACATATTCTCAAATCATCCCATGCTAATCAAATGAAATATAAATTATGCAAATCGTCAAAAAAAAATCACAAGAATAATTCTACTACAAGAAACACATGATATTCGATTATACTTAAACTCCAAACATGTCATTCAAATCCTTGTGATTTTCTTAAACATCTCACCAATCTATGAGTGATTTTATCATTTTGAGAGTGATATATAAAATGAAATGGGTCTAACGGGTTGACCTCTAACCCATCCAACCCGACCCAAAAAAATCATGGGTTATCGATTTCGGGTCATAATTTTTTTTACTTTTCGAGCAGGTTCGGGTCGGATCAACAGGTCATATTATAATTCGCCAGATCTAATTGACTTACCTATAAATTCGTCCAAAACATCGTTAAGATGAATCGAACGTGGCTATAACTTTGTAATCCAATAAAGAAGTTCGACAATTATGTTATATTTAACTAAGTTCGGCTATTAATTTGCAAACATAAAAAAAACTGACCTCAATTGTATTTACTCCTAAAAATATCAATTCCTCAGTATGCAGGCGTATGGGATCAACGAGATACTTTCCATTTTTTTCACTCCTCCCACCCCTAATCTCGCCATCGATGACGGTAGGATGTGCAGCGAGTCGGTCCATATATGACCAAATAGACGTTTGGACCGGACCAAACATAACATGATTATGTCTTTGATCCCATTAATTTTATAAATACTAAATAAAAATGAATATAAGTGACATTTGGAATAGACCAAAGCAAACCGAATGTAATGTTGATTCAATTCTCGATTCTAAAATGACTTTTACTATTGGACCGCGTTTCTTATTAGTTTGGTCGAGTCACCCCTAAGCCCTAATACTGCATAAAAATGTCTTTTTGCCTCCTGCTTTCTATTTTATTTAGAAATTTGCCATTGTTATTTCATTATTTGCGAGATGCCTACGTAAATGAGATTTTAGTGTTTGTGGCCAATTTCAATGTGGTAACAATACTCATGATACTAGTTACGGACCCGGCCAGTTGCCCGGATACAGTTGTCAATCACGTAAATAGCAGTAGCAATTGTTTTCCGATATTGTAATTGACTTATCGATTAAAAATCATTTTTACAAAAAATGAAAGAAAGACCTCATGTCGGGGAACGGGCTCCCAAATTTTTGTAAGAATCTTTCTATTACCCCTCATAGTCAGATATTACTACATGTTTTCATTTGAATTGTATCTATTTCCTCTTCCATGAGCAACATTGTTATCTCCACCAACAATAATCTATTCATCTTCATTAATGACACATTTATCTCCCATATCAATTTAATCTTCTTTATTCTTCTCTTGCATTTCAATAATCCCTTCCTTCTTTCATGCATTCTCTCTGAGTTTTGCTCTTCTTCATCCTTCCCTATAAAGGACATTTTGTACTCACTTGTTGGATTAGAGATGTTGTAATCTATGAGCCTGATGTTGAATGTAACGTCATTCGCTCAATTGTAGGAGATGAGTAGGTGGTGGTCCTATCATTCGATTATTGGCTTGAATAGTCTCTCAGACGACATTCCAGAAAATCAACCCCTCAATCGATCCATAACAACGATTTCAGCATGATCTTGTCAACATGAAGATTTCCTGCACTGACTGGGTATGAGGCGGGTATGGATAAAACTTGCAAAAAGGTTGATGGGATGTAGCGAATACAATTTTATTCTCTATGGCCCCATCAAGAGTATTTATTAAAATATAAAAAATAGAGGAATCGAATTTTAATATATCAATCAAAAGAAGGATAATTCAATTTTTTTTTAAAAAGAATGTAATTGATTGGCCATGCAAAATATACCTTAATTTATTTCCCCTAAATTCTCCCTTCATACCTTCACTTCTTTCTCCATTTTAAAGCGATTATTTTAGTTATATCTTTGCTCAGTAAATGTGTCGGAGTTGAAGATGCATAATTCGGATGATATTGTACCTTTTCTTATGGATTAACATATGTTTTGGAATTGAATATGTCGAATTCGTATTAAAATGATTGTATATTTATTGAATTTGTGATTTATTAGGTCTCTTAGTATTGCAATTAAAGAGCTACACGTTTTTTAGATATAGCAATGTTAGATGTATGGGTGTGTATCACCCACGGGTATCAGAAAATTGCGGGTATGAGAATGAAGATGCAACCTCCTCCATATGGGTATGAGTTTGATTATTTGAAAATGGATATGAGAATGGTTTAGAAAATCTTGCGCAAATCCGCCCATTGCCATACATAGTGGAAAGAACATGTTTTTTTCCTAACAATATCTAAAAGATCCACATGATCATCCCACCAAAATGTAAATAGGAAAACTATCACATAAAGATAATGTTAAATAAAATATGGAAGGCCACACCAATCCAGCCATCACCTCATTTTATGTCCTAGGCAAACCAAATGTGAGTAAAAGACAAACGTAGCGTCCAATGAAATGGAGATCCATTTCAAATCTAAGACTGGCTCCGGTGGCCA